AAAGAAAGAAAGAAAGAAAGAAAGAAAGAAAGAAAGAAAGAAAGAAATATGATTTCAGCCAAAAATAAAAATTATTTCACCCTATCAAAATGTGTACAGTTTACAAAATGTGAAACTAAATGTTAAATAATTGTTTTTAAAATGTCTGTGTTTTGGCATGGCACCAGGATTTGAGATCTTGAAGCAGATGTTGTCCGAAGAAAGGGTTGTACCTCACCTCCCATTGGCCAAGATCTGGGAATGGCTGGTGGGTGTGGCTTGCCGCCAGACTGGTCATCAGCGACTGAAAGCCATCCACTTACTGCTGAGGATTGTGCAGTGCTGCACCCACAGGTAGGCAGTGCCAGGTTCAGTTCCTTAACTCCTCCCACTCTGTCTCCTAGTTACTTTGTTAATGGCATTTTTGAGGAAAAAAGACAAATGTAATTTTAGTGTTTCTGAGTTCATCCATCATTTCTTTTAAGTCACTGAAAAACTACTAACTTAATGTGTCCTGTAAGTAATTTTTGCCTCATTCAAATGTCATAAAAGTATCTACTGTTTCTTTCTAGCATTTTAATCGCTTTCCCTTTCACACGACATCTATCATCCACCTGGGGTGAATCCTAGTATATGAGTTTGAGTTTCTGGCGTCAAGTTTTTGCTTTGGCTCTCTGCTTATTTTAAGTTTGTCCTGAGCACTCTGTACTGTTACCGTTGGTCCTATGTATTTACAACTTTGGGCATTTCCTTGTCTGTGAGCCAGTGCTGTATTAATGACTGTAGCTCTATGACTGATTGACATATCTACTAATTTATTTTTTTAAAAAATATTTATTTATTTATTTATTTATTTATTATGTATACAATATTCTGTCTGTGTGTATGCCTGCAGGCCAGAAGAGGGCACCAGACCTCATTACAGATGGTTGTGAGCCACCATGTGGTTGCCGGGAATTGAACTCAGGACCTTTGGAAGAGCAGGCAATGCTCTTAACCACTGAGCCATCTCTCCAGCCCCCCCCCCCATATCTACTAATTTAATTGTGGAAATCTTTTAGCTTAGTTCTTTACGTCAAAATTGTCCTGCATTTGGGTTGTGTTTAAGACCAATAAGTAGCCCATAGTGGCCTAGAGCTCTGAGTCCCCCAACCAGAACTTCCTGAGCACTGGGGTTACAGGTATACCCCATCATTTCTGACCTGTGTTGGGGGTGTGTTTTTCTGCTTTGGGTTTGTTTGTTTGCTTGCTTGTAGATAGGGTCCCATTATGTAGCTCTAGCTAGCCTGGAACTTACTATATAGATTAGATTGGCCTTTAACTCAGATCTGCCTGCATGCTCCAGGCTATGTTAGGTATTTATAACCCCAGTGTGACTGGCCATTTTTCCCTAGTGACTTACAAATCTTTTTACCCAGAAGTTATCTGTCCATTTTTATATTACCATGTTAATTTCTTCATGTACATAAGATTAAGATCATCCTCAACTATAGTGATTTCTAGGGAAGCCTAGGATACATGAGACCCTGTCTCAAAAAAAAAAAAAGATAAAAAATGGGGAGATGGTTTAGTCTGTAGTGTCTGCAGAAGAATGAGAACTTGAGTTCAGGTCTTCAGTACTTGGGGAAGGAGGGCAACAACAGGTAGGTCCTTGTAATTCATTGGCCAGTCAGCCTAGACGATTCAGTGAGGTCTGAACTCATCCCCCACCCCAAAAAAAACAGGTGCATGGGGCCAGAGAGATGTCTCAGCACTTGAGTTGAGAGCACTTGTTGCTCTTGCACAGGTCTTCAGTTCCGGCACCCAGATGGTGGTTCTCTATCCATAACTCCAGTTCCAGGGAATTCAGTGTCTTCTCTTGACCTTCAAAGGCACCAAGCCTGCAGGGTGGTGCACATACATACATTTAAGCAAAACAATCATACTTAAAATAACATGAATATATCTAATGAGAAATTGGTAAATGTAAGATACAAAGCAACTGAAAAAGATCCCTGATGTCGACCTTTGGCCTCCACATGCACACTGACAGCATCTGCACACACACACACACACACACACACACACACGAATACATACATAGACCATACACAAATACATACAACCAAAGACTAAAAAAATATTTTTTTAGCCTGATATGATGGCGCATACCTTTAATCCCTGCAGGGAGGCAGAGCAATTGGATCTCTGTGAGTTGGAGACTATCCTGATCTACATAATGAATTCCAGGCTACATAATGAGACCCTGCCTCAAATTGAAAAAGAAAAATAATTTTCCCTGTGTCCCCACCACCCTGTTATGCACATTTGTGCTCTCTTGTTCATGCTTCTCAATCTCTCTCTTGGCCAGTGATACTTTTCTCGTGGTACTGGGACTTAGCCCATGACTTTCCACGTGAGAGAAAGAGCCTTCTACACTACCACTGAGCCACACCTCTAGCCTCCTAATGGGATTCTAGGGGGCTCTGCATATCAGTTTGAGGGAAATCAAATTCTTTAGAAAGTTGAATCCTCTAATCCACAGCCATTTTATCTTCTTCTGTAGGAAGAGACTGTTTGTTTCCCAACTGCTCAGACCCAAATAATCACATAAAAACTATATTAATTTGAACACTGTTTGACCAATGGCTCAGGCATATTGCTGGCTAACTCTTATTTCTTAAATTAACCCATGTCTATTAATCTGTGTATCCCATAATGTTGTGGCCTACCAGTAATGTTCTGACATTCTGGCATCTTTCTCCTTGGGTGGCTACATGGTGTCTCCCTGACTCTGCCTACTCTCTTTCTTATCTCTTCCAGTCTGACTATATTCTGCTAAGCCATTGGCCCAATCAGCTTCTTTATTAACCAATGGTAATAAAGCATATTCACAGCATACAGAGGGGAATCTCACATCATTCCTCCATTGTGTAGGCCCTTGAAATAATTTACACATTTTTGTAGACAACTTATACAGCATTTTGTATTGTATTCCTAGGTATTTAATGTTTTTTATTCTCTTATAATGATTATTTAAAAAAAATTGATGAGTATGGTGGTATATGCCCACAATCCCAGCACCCAGAAGGCTAAGACATTTCAAGGCCAGTCTTACATCAGTAAGACCATCTCAGACAAAAGAAAATGACTTTTGTTTTGCTGCTGTAGCATTTTGGCCTGTTGCCCTTATATCCCGCATCTATTCTGAGTGAGTGTGTGGACTAGCAAGAGCTCAGTCATGGCATCTGTGATGGTGAGTTTTAGTTCTTCCTCTCAATGTGCAGGAGCAGGGTTTGACCTTTTACTCTGGTAGAACTTCCACTACAGTGTTGAATAGATAGGAATGTGGCTGTAGCTTCATAGTACTCATCTCAGAGGGTCTGCTATATACACAGTGGCCAAGTAGTCCACCTACACCCCCTGCTCAGACCCCTGACCAGTAGGAGTTGCTCTTTCTTGCATTTTTAAGGCATGTAGATATGCAGAGTATGAGCCAATGTGGGATAATAATGCTTGAAGTAGAAAGTAATATGAAAAGTTGTTATTTTTAAAAGCTTAAAGGAATTTTCAAGTTAGGAAGAGGAAGTGAGGCTCATTGTCAGCCCTAGACTGGCAGCAGGGGAGGGGTAAGAGAAGGCTGGGTGTGCTTGCTGTTAGTACCACATCCTTTTATGCAGACATTATGTGTTGCTTAGCTCTATACAGGCTTCCAGTATTGACCTGGATGGTATGCTGTCTAAGCAATATGTCACTTTGCCAAGGTCTTCAGGCTGGCAGGCCTTCCTGCCTGTGGTTCAGATGTCTTTCTACAATTTGCTGGCTTACATCGATCTTCTTTCCAGTTGGGACTCCCTATATTCCTGAGCCTGGGGAGAACTCTCAGTGTGCTCCCACTGGCCTATCCATACCTTCCTGATAGCCTTGTATGCCTCCATTATGAGCCTGAAGGGAAGATGGGGGGGGCGGTGAGGGTGAAGAGCATACCACATATCCTGGAATGCCTTGCCACACTAGCTTTCTGGAAAGTTAAAGATTTGCTGACCTGAGGGTGATAGAGGCCAGAGTAGAGGTCCAATCCCAGAGGAGGACAGTCCTGCAGATGCCTCTTACTCACTTTCTAGTGCTTCCCTGACATTAGCAATGAAACAAGTCGAACTGAATTTGCCCATCTGCTTACTTTATGAACATGTACTCCTTTCAGGGAAAATGACTGATAAGACAACTCTCAAAGGGGAAGATTCTTTTTCAAGAATCTTAATAACGGAAGAAAATATAAATAAAGAGAATGGCAAAATCATTACTTACATGCATATTACCCTATAGTGAGCCCAGAATATTGTTCAGCTCCTAATTTTCTCTTCTGGGGGGTTTTGAACTATGATCACAGCCCCCACCCACTCCAGTTTCAAACACTCAGGGTTCTCTGCACACAGGTCTGAGAAGGATTGGACTTCTCCTAGAGGCAAGATTTCAGGTCCAACAAGTTTGCAAGTGTATTTTCTATTTTATAAATAAATATCAAAATAATGTTTGTCTTCCCTGTCCATTTGATAGTATTTTTCTTTTTATTTGTTAATTTTATTTTATATAGGATATGCTTTTTTTTCCATTTAACATTTAGCTTAAGGTGGCATGATGACTCACACCTGTAATCCCAGTACATGGGAGACTGAGGCAGAAGAATTGTCTTGACTTCAAGGACAGCCTAGGCTACCTAGTGAAACAAAACAAACATATTTGCCTGGAGATTTTCCTAGTGTCACTGGAAGGACTTTGTGGGAACCATTTTTAAAAACACACAATAGAGGCCAACAAGCTAGCTCAGTGGGTTAAGATGCTTTCCATCATGCCTGACATGGTGGGTAGGGAGAGCCAACTCCCACAGTGTCCTTTGCCCATCATATGCATGCTGTGGTATTTGCCTCTCTCTCTCTCTCTCTCTCTCTCTCTCTCTCTCTCTCTCTCTCTCTCCCTCCCTCCCTCCCTCCCCTCCCTCTCTCTCTCTCTGTCTCTCTCTCTCTCTCTCTCTCTCTCTCTCTCTCAATTAGTAAGTAAGTAAATAAATAAATGTTAAAACAAAAGAAAATGCAATAATTCCTGTGACCATACTTCAGGTTCTCTGGATTTCTTAGAATGATTTTGGGGGTTTGCCCCTTTCCTTCCATGCTGTTTCAGAGAGAAGTAGGCATGGCTGTTTTAGGATGGGGTGGGAAGGGAAAGCCTGACCTGCAGTTTCTTTCAACTGTCCACCTTGGGTAGCCTACTTCTCAGTAAACCGACCCCATGATTCTCCCCTCCCCAGTGACCTATGTGACCTTGCACTGTTGAAGCCCCTGTGGCAGCTCTTTACCCACATGGAGTATGGCCTATTTGAGGATGTGACACAGCCTGGCATCCTCCTACCCCTGCACCGCGCCCTCACCGAGCTCTTCTTTGTCACTGAGAACCGTGCCCAGGTAAGGACACATCTATCTCTTGCCCTTCAGTCTGGGCGGGAAGGATCATAAGGATCATACCTCTGTATGCTTTTATCTCTTCCTGCTCATGGCAGGACCAGGGTTACACCCCAGTCCCCAAGCCCAGAGTGTCCAGGCTGCACAAGGAGGCAGGCCTGAGCCTCCATTTAGTGTTCCCCCAACACATACCCATATACCCAGCCCTGGGAAGAAAAACCTTCAGGTCAGCCTAGTTGCTTATTTTGTCAGGCCTATAGCCAAAGAGGGTCGGGACTGCCTTGGAGCAGCTCTTGACAACAGAGATTTCTGGAAAATCAAACAGTTAGGTTCCTCTTCCTTGTCTTTCTCTGCCTAGGCACAATAGGCTTATTGAATTGCCATATGAAAGGGCCTTTCACAGATCCTTTGCTTGTCCTCCTCAATAGACATGAGAAAAGTCGCCATCAGGGCTGGCTCTGGAGCCAGGTTCCTGTTCCTTCCAGTGGGGCTTCTTCATGGATGTAGAGTGTGTGGTGTCATAGGTGCTTGGCAGTGAGCAGTGCTTACCCACTTGGGGCCCCTGTTTGTTTGGTGGGTGTCCTTTGTTCAGCCCTGCTGCCTTCTGTCAATCAGAGTCCTTGCTCTCTTCACAGGAGCTTGGCCTGCTGCAGGAGTACCTGCTGGCCTTAACCACTGAGGACCACCTTCTCCGATGTGCAGCACAGGTACCGTCTCCCCTGTCCCCAAAGAGCTGGACTGTAGGTCATCTTCCTTTGATGAATGGCACCATATCACTTGCCAGGATGGGGGTGGGGAAGAAGACAGGGAAGAGGGAGTTAGTTGCTTGACAAGTCCAGACCCTCCCAGAGTTTACATGGAGCTTGGTTGCAATGCAGTCACTTCCTTCTGGCTCTCACAGAGAGCAGTGGAGCCCCATTCATCACTGTCACTCATATTAAACTGTGGGGTCAGAAGACACTAGCAAGAATTTGTGTCTGTGAAACCAAAACAACCAGTGCCTTCACTTTAGTTTGGCTGATCCTGGAAGTTTCCATAGAGTTAGATTTCAGATATTTTTGGACGTACTTTGCTTCCCTTGTAGGAAAACTCCTCTTCTAACAGCTGTGTTTCTAAATGATAGAGGGCCCAGGAAAGCTGTTCCTTCTATATGCTGTATACAATGTATAGTGTTATAAATTAGACTTTAGTGTTGAAATTAAAACATTCAAAATGTATCAATTCAGTTTTTAAGACAGAACATTTCATGTTAATGTGTTTTGAGAAAACTTTTTAAAACAAAATAATTTTTGAGGAGGGTGGCTCTAGTTCCATTTTTGAAAACTTACTTAATGTCTGGCCCAATAGAAGACAACTGGATTCTTGTGTCTGCCCTGCACTCATTCCTGAAAAGGAACTGTACTGTGCACTCAGGAAATGATGAAAGTGAAACTTGAATCTGTGACTCCTCCCAAAAGGCCAGGGATCCTCAGGCCCCAGCCTGCATTTTGAGAACTGAACTTGCCCTCAACACATACTATTGAGTTTGTGGCATATTTTCCTCTGTGACCCTTCCCACAGCTAACCAGTTCCCTTACTGGTATTCTGCCTCCTCACCAGGCCCTTCTGGGACAGCCACTTTCCCAGCGCTGTTTATGGGCTCCCGTGGGTACCTCTCCTCTGTCACTGGCTGTTCACCTCTTGTGTGTACTGTGTGCTTCCCTTCCATGCCTTTGTATGGCTTTTCCAAAACTGCCTCAGCAATTGAACTGCTACCATGACCAAAGGCTTCTTACTGCCTACCTCAGGGCTTTCCTGTGGGTTTTTGGTTTTGTTTCCTTTCTTACTTTTACCTGCGAGCCTCTGAGTGAGAGGCACTACCTCTGTCTCACCTCACCACCCTCCAGCTGAGGGATTTAGGGGTAAGCAAGTAAATGGTCCTTGATGTTAGTGACTGCTCTTTCCCTCCACAGGCTCTGCAAAACATCGCTGCTATCAGCCTGGCAATCAACTACCCAAACAAGGCCACCCGCCTCTGGAATGTTGAGTGTTAGCCTCACTGTGGCATGCATGGACTCAATAATTTATCTACAGGGGTTACGGCAGACCTCCAACCTTGCTCAGGAAACCCCTGCAGCCTCTTCACCCAGCTCTCTTTGAGCCCACCCCTGCTCCCATTTGGATGCCAAGCAGCCGCCTCATCAAGAAGGCCCACTATGCAGGCTCCATGTGTGCAAGAAGGCACAGCAGTGCTGAGTGGCTCAGAAAGGGCCATCAAGAGGCTTTGGGAAAGTTACTCAGAGAATAGAGACTAGTGTCCTTCAGAGCTGCCCCCGGGGAGTCACAGCACTGAGGACCTAGAAGTAATCTCTGGAAGGATTCTGTCTCCACTGAGCAGGAACTGCCCAGGCTTGCCATCAGGGGAAGGTACCATCCGTGCAGAGCCACCTTTGCAGTGAGACTTGCAGCTTGCAGCAGTAGTGGCCCACTTGGGAAACCAACCCACAACCAACACGAGCACCTCCCAGCCACCTCCAATTCCCAAGCTGTCTTCATGCCACAGGTCAGCTGGCTAACTCCCAGTGCCCTTGGGATCAGCCAACAGGTCCTGCTTGTCATCCATGCAACAGCTCCCAGCACACATGTCTGCGTTTCTTCACTTATTTTAATATGGTTTTGTTTCCCCTCATGCTTCTAGAAGAGAACCACACTGACTCCCTGAAAGAGCCCCTAGGGAATGCCTAGGAACAAACTGGTGTGTGTTGAAGTGACAGAAATAGAGGGACTCTCCAGCACCTACAGTGCCAACAGTGCCCTCAAAGGAGCCCTTGTTCAGGAGTCAGAACATACCTGATTATGCTTCTGCTCCAAGGTCATGGTGATCAGCATACCCACCACCTTGGTCCTCTTACCTTGCTATTTGGCCATCACCTGTCTAGCAATAACTACATTAGTTCTAGTGAATGCTTTTGCATTTTTCTATGTATGGCTTTAGCATTGCCCTGAAGTGCTAATGATTTTCTTTCCAGAGCCACAGTGAGTGGGAAGCTGGGTTGGCATCAGGCCAAGGACTTTCAGGAAGAAAAAAATCCTGAGGCACCTCCTATTGAAGGGCAGGTGTCTGGGCCAGAGCCATGTCCCACCTCACAGGCCCAATGCAAAAATGCCTCCTCACAGCCAGCACCACCCTTGGCTATCTTGTGTTGCTATGGTGCAGTGTGCCCCTTGGCCTCTGAAGACCCCTCCGGGTGTGGACAAGGGACTGGATTGGAAGAGGCTGAGCCTACAGGTCTGGAAGCATCTTCTGCAAAGGTGCTTTGCCTTCTGTCACCACTACCTGCCTGGCCCTTGAATTAGGTTCTCGGATGGACCCCAGCCTACAGGAAAAATGGCTACAGAGTGGTGGGGGGATAGGTTGCAAAAACACAAGAACAAATGGAGTGGTGACCCACGTTCTGCCCCTCACATCAAAGGAATCCTAGTCCAGTTCCCATGATGTGGGATAGGGTGCCAGCCCATGGGAACCTCTTTCTCATCTTTTGCTCATTGCCAAAGCACCTGGGCTTTGCAAGCTGCCTAGACCCCAGAGAAGGCCACTATTGCATGCCACTCCCTCCAAGTAGGTCTCTGGTGAGAGTCAGAACAAGTCTCAGTGCTCAGTGAAGAGGCCTCACCGTGACTCAGACCAGATAGCAGTTAGAAGATGGGGGAGGAGATGGCACACTCACAACCCTCCACGCCTCAGACTGAGTAGAGGGAGCAGATGGCCAGGGCAGGACAGGGCTGGAGGCCTCCCTCGGGACAGTGGCCCCAGCTCTTCTCCCACCCTTCCATCAGGAAGAGCAATTGTAAATAAACACTGAACCCCATAGCTTTTCTCCACTCACCGCTCTCTGTTTTCTCTCCCTCTGCTTCGTTTTGCCCTTCACACACCACAGCTGCTCTCTGACAGGGCCCCCCTGACCTAGTCACTGCAGCCCACTGCCTCCACTTCTCTAGGCCACTGGGTGGCACTGCTGAGCCAGGCCCATCTCTCCTGATCCCAACCTGGACAGGAGGTGCAAAGGAGTTCCATCAAGGCCAATGTCCCCTTGACCCTTCTTAGGGGGCAAGACTGCCTGGACTGAGACAAAACTGGCAGGAATAAGGGGTCGTGGAAACATGTGCCTAATCTATAATCCAGATCATATATATTGTACAGACACTGTTCTAATGAGAGGAGTGACTTATTTTCATCATCGTTTTTAATTTGTTTTCTTACGGGTTTACGATTTTGAATTTTTATTATTTGGTTGAGAGAAAGAATTTTGATTATATCAGCTGAGTGAGTTCAGCCTGTAAAAAGAATGTTTTAAGTTGTGGATAAGATATGCAAATGAAGAGAAATATATTGTACAAATTCTATATAAAAAAAGTACAACTCTATGTGAATTTCTCCCTTTTCCCTTCCGGTCCCTCCCCTTCCCTACCCCCACTGCCCTGTAGAAAGGTCTTACTGTATCCTTCAAGCTGGCCCGAAACCCGCCATCTCCTGCCCATGTCTCTCATGCCTGGCCCTTCAGCTTCTCTTGTGAAATATACTTTGGAGTTTCTGCTTAGCCAAATAGATGGGCTTTACAGAACCTCATGACCACCTCCTTGTGTGAAGGAGTCCAGCAGGTCCCCCACAGCGTCTGAGTGTTGACGGAACTGTGAGCCTTGCCCTTCACTGTGGCCACCCAGGGAATCCAGGAGTTCACCTTAATCACCCCTTTCTGTACTTTATCTCTTAGGTTTGACACACAAATAATGTCCCCAAGTTCACTCTTCTCCTGCCAGATACCCCAACACCACCCTGTCATCTCTGAGCCTCCTGTAGCTCCCAAGCCTTGCTGTTGTCCTGGGACTGCTTCTCCTGCCTGCCTCATCTAAATCATCTGAGATTGTTCCTCCTCAGGTCTGAGTTCCCATTGGCCATGCTGTGTCCTTCTCAGACCCTTTCCTGTGCTCAGTGCCATCTTGTAAGGTGGAGGAACTTGCCTTTTCAATGGAATCTGGGACTAGCCCACCTTTGAGGCCCACAGTCTATACATCTCCCCCAAATCTGAGACTTTAGGGGAGCCCCAGACAGGGCCTGGGCCCAGCCTCAGCTTCTCCGGTAGGAAGCCTGGGTTAGCATGGTGCTCAGGGGAACTGGGTCGTCCAGGTCTCTGAGTTGCCCTCTAAGGCTAATAATTTATTGCTGTCCTCACCCTGACTTGATCTGAGAATCATGGGGCTTAATTTTGAAAAGCAAGGCTCTCAGCTTTTCCTGTTGGGGTCACGGGCAGCCTTTACTTAGTTGCAAAGTCCTGGAACAGCTGTGTGGAAGTTCCTTGCTGAGACACAGGTCATAGCAGCACTAGGTGACTCCAACCTAAGCCTTCTACACAGCGGAAGAGAGGTAGAATTCCAGCATTCCTCATTTGTACATGTCAGTGCCAAATCCTGAGAACTGTCAGGGCTCAGTCCCATTGCCCAGCGCCATCGCCTCTCGTCCACACTCCAGATGCCCCAGCATGCTAGCCAGGTGATTACACTGCACGGAAACAGCCTGGTGGAAAATCCAGACTTAGACTAAGCCCACATCTACACATGACTAAGCACCTATGTGGATCCTGTTGCTTATCCCACTGCTACTTCCTACCCATTTCCCTCCTTCCCTGCTCACAAAATCCAGTATTTTTCTCAGTAGTCAGTCTTTTTTTTTTTTTTTACATTATTTGTGCTTGTAGGTGCACATGTATAGAGGTCAGAGGACAGTTTGTAGGGATTGGTCCACCCTATGCATTCAGGTTACAGGCTTGACAGCAAGTGCTTTAGTCTGTTGAGCCATCTCACCTGCCCCAGAATCCAATCTATTCATGGGTGACAACTGTAGATTCTTCAATCTCAGGAAAACTATCTTTTTGCTGGCTCATGGAGAGTCATTCTTGAATGATACCCTCCTTGGGTACCATCCTAGAAATCTCATTTCTGTTTATAGGATGCTTCCTTTCCATCTCCTCTTGCTGTCAGGGTGGCTGTGAGCCATTTCCTACCACAGAGACACTGATGCCTGCTAGGAAGTTCTAGGGCAACAGTTCTCAACCTGTGGGTCATGACCCCTTTGGGGGCGGTCAAACAACCTTTTCATAGGGGTCACAGATCAGATATCCTATGTATCAGGTAATTACATTCCATTTCCTAACAGTAGCAAAATTACAGTTTTGAAGTAGCAACGAAAATAATTGTATGATTGGGGATCGCCACAACATGAGGAACCATTATTAAAGGGTTGAGTTAGGAAGGTTGAGGATCACTGCTGTAGGTGATGGATTCGTGCTCACATTGAGCTGACAAAGCACCGGGCTTGGAGACCCGACTGCAACCTGCTGCTGTAAGGTGCTGGAGAGCCAGTACACAGCTGTAGATGCAGGAATTGGGATCCGACTAGGATTCCTAACTGCAGGATGTGAGCGCCTGTTCAGGATGCCTGGGAATATAGGGGAGGTGGACAAGGGGACTTGTGGTTGGCTGGTCTCTGCTCACTTGCAGATGAAATTAGGCCACAGTTGGCTCCAGTGGGTTGTAATAAGGCAGTAGCCCTCTTGCCATATTAATATCAAAATGCATTGTATGAAAAAATTAAATAAGTTTATAAAAATTGTTCCAGGAAGAACTAAGACTACCTAAAATAAATCACTGGTGCTCAACCTTCCTAATGCTTCAACCCTTTAATATAGTTCTTCATGTTGTGGTGACCCCTCCCCAAGCTTAAAATTATTTTTGTTGCTATTTAATAGCTAATTTTCTTACTGTTATGAATTGTAATATAAATACCTGTTTTTTAATGGTCTTAGGAGACCACTGAGAAAGGGTCATGTGACCCGTAGGTTGAAATCACTACTCTAAACAATCCTATTAAATAGGTATTTTTCTAAAAATACAAAATGGTTTCACTAAAGTTTTTAAGAATTTAGGGGCCTCTGAGATGGCTCAATAGGTGTAGAGGCTTGCAGTCCAACCTGATGACCTGATGACCCAGAAAGAGAAGAGAGTGGAGTCTTAAAAGTTGTCTTCTATTTCCAGGTAGTGATGGCATATGTTCTTAATCCCAGCACTTGGGAGGCAGAGGCAAATGGATCTCTATGAGTTCAAGGCTACACTGGTTGACAGAGCAAGTTTCAGGACAGCCAGGGCTACACAGAGAACACTTAACTCAAAAAAAAAAAAATCAGCAGTGTGTGGGAAGGAGACATAAACATTTCCTGAAGTGGAAAGGCCTCTGAAAACAGGCTGATGGCAGCCATCAGTAGCAAATTCTCCTTTCTAGCAAAAGGGGTTGAGAGCAAATTTGGAGGCACTGTCCCAGAACTCAGTGAGATGTCTCCAACTTTAAACTCCAAACTATGTTTGTTTGTTTGCACGTGTGTGTGCACGTGCATGCACACAAGAATGCTGCACTGCGTTTGTGGATGTCAGAGGACAACTGTTCTCCCTACCATGTGTGCCCCAGGGAGTGAACTCGGGTAGGCTTAGCGACACATGCCTTTCCCAGCGCGCTGTCTTCCTGGCTCCAAACTAAGGAAATTTAAAAGAGGATTTCACCAGCTCACAACACTGAAAAGCCTGAAAGTTGCATTTCTTTCCCGGCAAAGAGAAATTCTGTGGCTTGAAGATGCGAAGTCAGTCTGTCTCTCCTTGCCTTCCCCGCTCCTGCTCTTTGGGACTTTTTTACTCACAAGGAGGAGCCACAGCTCCAGCTCCTCCCTGGGCAGTTCCCTGCTCCCTGTGGAGAGCCACCTCGGTGTTTTTCATAGGAGACGTCCCTGAACTGTCAGCCACCATTTGCATTCATGTTTAAAAAGCTACTTGGGAGAGCTGTGTCCTCATGGGTTGTCATCTCAGAACTACTGAGAAGCATGTATCCATGACAACTGGGCAGATGTCAGGCCTGGGAAAACCCCACATACCACTGTGAGTCCTGTCAACACAGCTGCTCCGCCACTCCATCAGGTGAGACACCCCTAAAATACAGTGATAAGACTGCTCCTGCTCATTAGGGCAGAAATCCACAGCAGAAGTGAAGAGAGACAGCTAACTAAAATTCCTTTTACAGTTTAATTTTATTTTACTTTTTTAAATTGACACATAAATTGTACATATTTATTGGGTATAATGTGATGTTTGTGTTTTGTTTTGTTTACAGTACTTACAGATTTAGCCTAAGGCCTCCCATACAATAATCACCTTACTACTGAGCTTTTTATATTCTTTATTTTAAGATCTAAGTGCTCCAGGATGGAGCTTGCTGTCCTCCTGCCTCAGCCTTCTGAGTAGTAAAGATTATTGCAGTCCTGTCCCTCCAGGTCCTGCCTACCATTTCATTGTTTTGGGAACATTCAGAATCCACTCTAGGAAGTATGCTCAAGGGTAGAGCATGTGCTTAGCCCAGACTCATTATCTAGTACCTCCTAAAAAAAATGGTCTCTACGAGCTGTCTTCAAGTAATCCATTGTCAGCCATTGTTATTCTGTACTAGCGAACATTGGAAACTTTTCCTCCTGTACAGTTTCACCCCTTCAACTTCCCCTTTCCAGACTTTAAAAAAATAAAATGTGCTTTGCATGCATGCAGTGCCTGAAGAAGCCAGAAGAGAGCATCAGATCCCCTAGAACTGGAGTTACAGAGCTGTTAATCATCACATGGGCGCTGGAAACCAAACCCTGGTCCTTCTCAAGAACAGCCAGTGGACCACCACGCCCAGCTTGATCTCCTTCCTTCAGCTCAGCCTCACCTCTTAAGCTCCTGCCACATCCCCAAACAGTCCCATCAGCTGGGGACCAAGCCTGTGGGGGACATTTCATACACCGTTTATAACATTCAGAGGTCCTCGGCCACCAAAAGCTTATGCCCATCTCATGCAAAAATTTCTTTAGTACATCTCTAAGACTCTCCAACATCTCAACAGTCCCAATGTTGCTCAAAAACCCAAGTCCAAAACATCTAAAAAGATTTAAGACATACTCATAGCTATGAGCCTCCCATAAAACTGAAAAAAAAAACATACTTCAATATCCAATAACAGTTTGAATATTCCCATTCCAGAAGGAAGGGGGAAGGGAAACCAGCAGAACACATTAAATCCTGTACCTCTTGCATCTGGAGCATTAGATGGGATGATGTGAGCCCTAAAGGGTTCGGGCAGCCTTGCTACTCTGACCATGCTGGCTTTCGCACATGTGACTCCCCTGGGCTGGCTCGGCTCACTGCTTGCAGCTTTCCTGAGCAGATGTTCCATGTTCCTGGCGTCCTTCCTGAGTCCTCTGCTGCAGCTTAGGCTCCACTCTCACAGCTCCACAGAGCTCTCCTAGGCTGCTGGCAGAAGTCTGACCCTAGAACACAACACTGAGTCTCATAAGCTT